CTCTCTCTCTCTCTCTCTCTCTCTCTCTCTCTCTCAATCATACCATTCCATAACATAAGACTCAAATTCATTATCTCTCACCTGGAAATCTGTAAATTGTACCAATGGCAGAACAGACTGTAGAAAAGGTAATAATGGTGTCGAATAGAAAGAGCATTGAGCATTGGTCCTTTGCATAAGTTTCCATATTCTTTGAATATGTTTGTTACCATGTAAATCAAATTAGAATATGAATATGGCCATCATTCATGTTGTAGTTGATAAACATTGCAGTAACTTGATCAGCGTTAAGTTTGCTTGTGAAATTGCTAAATAGAAATTTGTATTCACGCATATGAGCTCTCTCTCTCATTCCCCCCCCCCAAAACAAAATAAAAGAAAAGGAACAACTTTCTCTATCTGCAAATGCCCAATGCCCCAATCTATTACGAAGAAGCGGTACGCGTGCATCCAGAAAACATCTCTCTCTGTGTAAAACCGGGAATTTTTCCAATAGATAATAAAAGCTTAAATTCCACAAAGTGAAATACGCACCCTCTAAATCAGTCAAAATATATTCAACAGGTAAGACATCATAGCACAACCTAAGATGTATTGAAAATGCACTAGAAGTGAATAAAAACCCTTGGAAAAATTAGCACTAAGATATCTGCTTTTATATGAATCCATGACAATACATTGTAACGGGTAACAAAACTACAGAGAAACCCAAATTTCTCAACATCTAACCGGTTCTCTACCTGGCATAAATACCAGAACTAGAGTTTGTAACATCAGATGAATCCCAATCCAAAGAAGAAGAAAGAATCCTAGAGAGAGACAATAAGACATCAGAAATATCAGGTCGAGAACCCAAATCTTGTGACAGGCAGGTCTTAACCAGCTGAGCCATGGTGAGTGCCAAATCTAAGGGGTAATCCTCTCCCAAACTAGGATCCATCAGGCTCCTAAACTTCTCTCTGGCATCTTCTCTCTCTAGCAATGGCACCACGACTGTTGACAAAAGCACATCTTTTTCTCTTTCTCCATCCTTCTCCAAAATTACAGCTTCCTGACCAGTGAGAAGCTCAAGCATCACCACCCCAAATGCATAAACATCAAGCTTTGGAGTAATAAGGCCATGTTCAAGATACTCTGGTGCTAGGTATCCCTGAGTACCCGAAACATGCCTGGTTACAACCAACCCTGCATCTCTCTGGTTTTCTACAGTTCTTGCTAAGCCAAAATTAGCAATCTTCGCCCTGAACTCACCATCCAAAACAACATTACTGCTCTTGATATCTTTATGAACGTAACCAGGACTCGCGTAATTGTGAAGATAATGGAGTCCATTTGCTATATCATGAGCAATCTGCACCCTTTGCTTCCAAGCCAGACCAGAGAACCTCTCTCTCCCATGCTTTCTTTCTCTATGAACCCAATCACTGAGAGAACCATTCTCTGCAAATTCATAAACCAAGTATGTATTCCCTTGATGTACACAAAATCCAGACAATCTTACAATGTTCGAGTGATTTATCGTCTTCAATATGCTGATTTCAGATGAAGCGTCCCCACTCATCCTCTTTATAGCAGCCATATCCCCCTTTATAGTGGCCCTATAAACCGATCCCTTAACTCTATAATCTGAGCTAAAATCATTGGTAGCCTTCTGCAAATCCTCAAACTTATACACTGTAACTGAATGGACTGCAGAATAAAGACCCTCCGAAAAATCAGATTTGGTGTAATTATCAGATGCCACTTTCTTGACAGGAAGTGAGGTATGATCATTTTTATCCAAATTTTCAGTTTTTTTATCCATTGGGGTTCTTTTTCGTCGAGCCAGGAACCAAACCAGAAGGCCGCAAAGCAAAAGAACAAGAATTCCAGCTCCTATTCCAATCCCAACAAAGACCCACTTCTTAGATCTGGTTTTTGTACCAGGTGGTGGAGAGCTTGATGGAGGAGATGAAGGAGGAGGAGGAGGCGGACTTCTCGTTAGAGCTGCAGTTGGTTCTCTCTCTAAAGGAATTAACAATGGAGTGAAGGGATAGATTACCATATCACCCGATAACTCGTTCGCATAAACAACGCTACCCTGATCTACCCCGAATCTCTCACTGATTAAAGGAACATCATCATTCCGAGTAACAATATAGGTAACCAAGTAATTGACTCCATTGCTGCTCTGGTTTCTAGTTGGGCAAGCACATCTAAGAGGGACTGATACCCTCAAATTAACACTCAAATTTCTGCTATCGTAATTTGGGTTTTGTTTTATCAGAGCGTCACAGGTTGTTAAGCCCTCATATGTGTTATTCGCTATGGTCAAATAGATATCACCCTCTTTGATGATGTAAGAGGCGTTATGCTGGTAAAAAGAACCAGAGCATGAGCAATTTACAGGAACTATAACCAGTGAATCTGTGGGGATAGTTGATGTGTCGGTTAAGCCATTGATAACTGCAATTTCTTGCGCATCAGAGTTCAGGAGATAGGCGATGGAGATAGGGGAATTGAAGGTGGGTTGAGAGCGAAAGAAGAGGAAGGTTTTGCAGGAGGAGCTGATACCATTGCAACTATAGCCAAGGTTGTAGGAAAGGTCAGTGTTGCAGGCTAATTGGCTGTTGTTGACGTAGATTTGCTGGGCTTCAGTGGATTGTAGAGAGAGAAGAGAAAGGATAAAGAGCCAGAAGAAAGAGGACATGGCTGTGAATTGTAGGAGATGGTGATTGGGTTCTGGCCAGTTTGAGACAGAGACAGGGGTATGGTTTTGGGTAAGAAGAGGGAGTGGTTGGTTTGGTTTTCTAGAGAGTCTAGAGAGAGAGAGGCCTTTAGCAAGGAACCTTTAAACCTGGCACAGAGAGAGACGGGTATTTGCAGAGCTGACTGGATGCTGTAAATTGAGAGAGAGATGGGTATTTGCAGAGCTGGCAAATAGTTTTCTTCTATTATTACAAGATAGAATGCAATACATTAAGAAATTAAGAGAAAGTGAGAGAGAAGTCACTGTTTGTGTTCTGTAATTTTTGAGTTCTGTACAATACATAAAGAAATTAAGAGAAAGTGAGAGAGAAGTCACCATCTGTGATTGCAAGGAAGAGACGTACTCAATGCCAATCAGTCTTCCTAATGTAATAAAATCGTCCTCATTTTCTGATGAGAGAGAGAGAGGTCGTTTGAGAGAGATTTGATGAGAGAGAGAGAGGTGAGTTGAGAGAGATTTGATGAGTGAGAGAGAGAGAGAGAGGTGATTTGAGAGAGATTTGATGAGAGAAAGAGAGGTGATTTGATGAGAGAGAGATAGGCGGTTTGAGAGAGATTGTGGGTTGGAGACTGCAGAAGATTTGATTAGGGTGAAACTGATTCAAATTCAGTTTCTATAAGAAATTTCTAATCGAATTATCAGATGAGAGAGAGAGGTTATGTTGACTTTTTAAGTGAGATGGAGTGATTGGTTACATAGGCTTGTGGAATAGTTAGAGAGAGAAAATCGGGTCAATCGGAGAGAGAGAGAGTTTGTATTGTGTTTGTATCAGAGATGGTTAGCTGTGTGGGTGGGTCGTGGAATAATTGAAACTGCAAATACGGTCAAAAAGGTCGGCTGTTGGGTCGGCGGCGTTGAACGAGTATCCGCGGTATAAAACAAAAGTGAAATGTATTGCTGCTCCTTCAAGAGCATTCTGTCCATTTGCTCTGGAGTAGAGTTACCAATTGTCCAGGCTTGGGCTGGCCTGACCTGGCCAAAGTGTTTTAGCTAAGTGGACCCAAAAATGCGGATTGAGCAATGACCCAGGCCTTGAATAGATTATATCAAGGTTTCAAAAATTGGTGATCTTGTTCTAACCAATGTTCTAGATTGGGAATCGATCAAACCGGGTCCGAATCCCCCTAATATAAGGAAGCGGTAAGCTCGCCTATGGAGCCGGCCAGTTTTAGCTGGTTCTCTGGCAAAACCGTTTCGACATAACCGAAAAGTTTTGCTGAGTTCTATCAAAGAACCGGTCCTTTATTTTATAATTTTGTATTCATAATTCACTAAACCAAACGGCAGATTTTTGGGATATATGTATGGCATATGTTCCCAAGTAAGCGTACTGCCCTATGGAGTAAATGCATGGCATATGCTCCCGTGGGAGCAAAAGAAAGCGTAAAGATGAAAGAATACAGCCCTGCACTACACGTGAAATGTCGAACCCGCGTGCAGACGTAAATATGAGTCAAATGACTCGGTGAAGCCTCCGTTCATAGATTGAGGCAGGAGTAGGGTTATAGCGCAATGCCTTTGAAAATGTGGACTATTCTTATATACACATGACCAATGAGAGGGCGATATGTCTAAAATCTGAATGCACATCAATTTTGAGTGTTCCTCTCTCTCTCTCTCTCTCTCACATTTAGTCTTAAATATATGTCGTCCCTCAACCCCCAGTTGTTTTAAGATTTGTGGGTCTCCACAGGCCATGATGGAGCGACACAAAAACCTTGGAAATGACTTCAATAAACCAATATATGCTCATCTATTTCTTAATTCCCTCTCGTATGATGAACCTTCTCTCTTAGGATGGGAGAGATGTTCTCTCTCTCCCTTTCTTTCTCTAAATAAAGATAAGAGAGATATTCTCTCTCTATATTCCTCCCCCCCCCCCAACTCTCTCTCTCTAAATAAATAAAAAATAAAATTTCTAGAAGCCCCTGAAAAACCCATTTCCCCAACAATTTAATCAACCTCCCACGTATGTCCCATAAGCAGCCATGAGAGGTCAATAGTAAAATCGTTGTTGGAAGACACAATTAGCATGGCCCTTTTTCTCTCTCCCATGACTGAGGATACGATAGTATATAGTGATTCTTGAAGACAACGCAAAATATGGACTCCCCCCAAACCAGATCCTCCTTAAAAGCTATACTATATGCATCTCTCTCTCTCCTTATAGTTATTTATTTATTTTTATTTTCTTTGGCATAGCCCGTGCGTGCTTTTTTGGGCCGCCAATAGCCAAGCCAGCCTTAGCCCAAACCGGACTTGACCAAAACGGCCCTAAACCAAGCTCAACCCTAGCCGCCGAGACACAAATAAGAAGAGAGAAGAACGAAAAAAAATAATACAAGAGCAGGGCATGGCCAACAATGTCATGGGCCAAACTTAAGCGAAGGCCTTTCTCAGGCCAACCTAACCTTGGGCCACATTTCACTGCCCAAACGCTAGTTTTTCTGGTCCAGTCAGAGCCATCAGGCCCATTGCCAACTCTAGAGCTTCTAGGGATAACCCTCTTGTGTTGATCTCTGATTTATGCAAATTCTTTAGGTCCAAGACTATACACTCCAGTTTTGATCAAACTGTCTATTCATACACTCTATCCTTTGCTACATTTCATTTCTTTACTAACAATTTTTCCATGCATGCTTTGCAGCCACTTAATGTCCATTACTCTCCAAAACATCATTATTTCACTATCTTTAACTCCTTTTAATTCTTATCGTTTTGGTAATATACCTTCCATCTTTATACTCCTGGAATCTGCTAGGAAATGATCTTTCTCTCTCTATATCTGCTACGAAATGCTCTCTCTCTCTCTCTCTCTCTCTCTCTACTACTAA